ATCCATCCATCCATCCATCCATCCATCCATCCATCTCTCTATCTATCTTTCTATCTATCTAGTTAGCTATCTATCTATCGTATTCAATACGAAACAATAGCTATTTGTCTTTCAATACGATTGGGGGTTTTGTGTTTGCTTTTTCCTGGTTCGCCTTTTAACAGCTGTTTCTAAGTCGGCATCTTACGTTGTGTTTTAGACAACTTCTCAATTTTCAGACCCAACGGTAACCGAAAACGTGTTTGAAATGTTTTTCCTTTGAGCCAGATTTGTTCTTCTTTTGAAAGAGTTACAGTAACGCGTGAGCGTAACTCCGGGAGAATTGCTGAGAAATCGATCCTCGCGGCTGTGGGGGAAACATTTCGTTAGTATAAAGAAGACGATATCGCCAATAGGAAAGTTGGGCTTCAATTCAGCAATTGTAGCCGGCTGGGCCAAGCATGGGGAGTTAATTGTTATTATTTCAGGGCAGGAGGAAAGTAGTTCCAGCAATAGGACGGCCAGCCTCCATTGATAATGCTATTGCCTATACTGATTGAATTTTTCAAGAGGGTTATCCCATTGTTTTAAGATCTGAAAGTTACTCAAGGTGAAATAAAACTGGGGGCAAGTCAGTTCATTTGATTTCTTTTGAGTTCCGGTTAGATCCAACTACTCATTGTCACGAATCCTGTTTATTTGCCTTGCTTTTGATGAAAAAAATATCCATTTATCTTGGATACAAGTCTAGACATTGGCAATTGAAGGACGTGGGGGTCACCTAGTTTCAGAGGCACATTTAGCAAGAAAATGAGCGTGAAAAGTGTTAAGCCTAAAAACAAAGATTCGATAAAAATTCCCAAACCTGCGGGTAAATGAAAGTTTCTTCACTTTCATTATTTTGACGAGCGCCTGATTTTACCACACTAACTAAACTAAAATGTTCCTGTTTAGTAAGTTTTCCTGTAGCCCACGGCACTACTTTAGTTGGCCTATAGGAGACTCGTTGTGGGTGTTTCCAGTATGCCCAAAGAATCTAACATTGGAGTCTTTGTCAAAAGATGAATTTCGACATTTATCGTCCTCTTTGCTGGTAGCTGATGTTGAGGACTGAAGTAAAAGCATGTATAACGATGGAGATTTGGAGGAGTTCAAGGCAAAAGGCGCTAGCTGCTTCTGGTTGACCACCGACGGATTATTGTGCGCTGTTTGAGCCTAACGACCTACTGCAGAGGGAGTTGAGATTGTGGTGAAGAATTCTTTTTGTAATGAGGTTATTTTCAAGACGTTTGACATCTATGAAAGCAAAAGAGTAAGGGCTGCAAAGAAACAGTCTTAAAACAACTAGAAAATTCATCCCGATCAGTCTTTTTAAAATCTCATCTGGAATAAGAAGAAGCATTTATCTTGTGTTTTCTAATACTCCTGTGCTCATACAAAGTTGGAGGACAATAAAATGTAAAGCAGAAAAGAAAAGACAAAATTCCGTATAAAGAAAAAAAGGGCATTGCAAGATAATAACAAGGGGGAGCAACCAAGTGAAAGCAAGTCGTTGAGGGAGTAAGAAAAGAAGGGGAGGGAATTAATTTCCGTTCGCGTCCCACGAGGGTCGGAGGCGAAAGGAAGATGGACACAGGGCAGAGAAGAGAAATGAGCGTCCTGAGAATGAATATTATTATGATTCGTCTCTTTGTGCGCTTCTGTTAGCTTCGGAGAGGGTGGCTGTTTGCACACAACTGTATGCTCTTTTGTTTGTCTGTTTTCCTATGTGTCTTTTCACAGACGTTACCTAGAGCGTGTTTTTTTCTTAAAATGAGTGGATTTATAAGAGTACGGATGAGTGTGTTTGTTTGCGTGTTCCTGAATGTGTGCATATACTCTCAATAGGAAGAGGGACACCTGTACCGCAGCGGTCTTAGCGTGATATAAAAAAACCCCACAAAAGTAAATTCGAATTTAGATGGACACAGGTTAATGCAGACACACAAAGATGCATAGATAGAAATGTAAGAGGCATAAGTCATACAGACTAACTATAAGATACAGACGTCTCAGTACTCAGATTAGCCAGCCACTCG